TCCACTCTGCTGGAGCTCCAGGAACATCATTCTGATGGTGAAAGCAAGCTGCTCAGCCCATGCCATGTTTGTCTGCAAGGAAATGGGATGTTTATGTTTATCCCAACTGATGGTGATGGATGACACTTTTGTTCCATTTAGCAGCTGCTTGGCCCATTTAATACCACAAAAGGAGATTAAGATCCAAAGTATGTAGGGCTGTGTTATGAGTAACAGCCGCTTAACAGCAACAACACTGAATAACAATTGCAAGTTTGGCTTTTAGCTATTATTATTGTCTAAGGTTGGTTTGTTGTTCATATAAATAAATACATATCTATACATTAAATGAATATACCTAAGGGCAAAGTGATGTATTTCCGGATAAACCCTCCAACTGTTCTAGATTTCTCAAACAAATCACTCTGGAAAATAATGTCTAGGAAGAAGTATAATATGTCTTGTGCATCCACAGGTTCAGCCAAGCTCAAGAATTCCCCCATGGAGGTGTGCAGAAGGGCTGCAGCCAAACTGACCACCCAAGGATCCATCAGTCACAAACTGGCTCACAGGAAAGCTAAGCACACTTTGCCAGAAGGAATGCCACTCTGTCCTGCCAGCCTGCCTTGGCTACATGGAATTAGCTCATGGGATACTGGCAAAAGCAATTCTCCAAGGAAGAGCAAATCCTTCACCAGCAGCAGCAGCAGCAGCAGCAGCAGCAATGATCCTTCTCCCTGGTGGAACTGCTGTATGGACAACACATAACTCCTGCCCCTGCTCACCTGCAGTGCCTGAGCCATGATCTGCCTTAGGAAAGGGACCTGGGCCAAGGTTTATCTCATCCTGCACGATGTGGCTGGGTTGGAGACCTGCAGCCTGGAATTGTCTGTTTATTTATGCCTGTGCAAATCCATTCAGTGCAGGGGATCCCTGGGACTTCCCAGGACAGGTGTGTGCATGGGAAAAGCCTCATCCAGCCAGCCCTGACCATTTGGGGCCAGAGGGAAGACAGTTTTCAGACAGAAATCTCCTTGATTTCTGCATAAAAATAAATTACTGCTGTCAAGACACCTAAAATAGTCAGGGCCCTTTCATTACTGACTACACAATGAAAAAGTCCAGCCTGGTCTTGGACACTTCCAGGGATGGGGGAGCCACAGTTTCTATGGGTAACCTGTGCCTCACCACCCTCACAGGGAGACAATAAAAACTTTTCCATTGCAAGGATGCCTCAGGTCAGTGTGAGGTCTGCAGGAATCCAGGGGGTCCTGCCTGGAACACAACCAGCAGGGCTCTGAAAGGACTGAGAGTGCAAAGCACTGGTGAGCATCAGGAGCTCAGTGGAAACAGGACTGCAACAAGGGCTGTGAGACAGGGTGCCTAGAGAAGCATCAGGCACAAGGATTGAGTCACTGCCTGAGATAAACATCCCCATCTGATGTTGTTTCCTCCTCATATGCTACTGCAGCCAGCAAAAATGTACTGAAAACAAACAGCAGTTTCTTCACTGCCGTTAATTGCTTTGCTTGGGTCCATTTAATTCCCTGTTCAGTTTTAAGCATTGGACAAACAGACTCAAGAGTTAATAGTGTCCTTGCTTTAAACAGCAAATCTTATTTAAGAAGTGTTTGTACAGTGCTCTTCAGCATGGGGTGGGATTGTTGGGGTGTTTGGGGTGTCCTGTGCAGGGCCAGGAGTTGGACCCAATCGTTCTTGTGAGTCCTTCCAGCTCAGGATATTCTGTAATTCCATGGTTCTTGTGGGACTCAAATCACATCTGTGTCATTGTCAGAAGATGGAGAACCACACCACTCTTGGTGATTTAGTTCTCCCTCTCTGCACATAGCTCAGATGGAAAGCCATGACTTTCTCTTTCGACCTTTGTGGCTGCTGCTGGAAGTTGGTGGCCTTAAGAGCCATCAGCAACTCCCTGAAGCAGTCCTGGACCAGGGTGGGTTGTTGCTGGAGATTTAGAGGAGCATTAGAGAGTATCATGGATTAAATGTGCAAACAGTCAGTTTAAGGTGGTGTTCAAACATCTCCATGACACACAAGCTGCAATGGAAGCATCTGGCAGGGAAACAGCCTCTTGGAGAAACTAAGGTGTGTGACTGCGGAAAAAGAAAGGTTCCTTTTGTCTCAAGAGCAGAAAAGTCACCGAATGTGATGAAGGTTTAATCCCTGCAGATGGTCTTTAGCCACAGCATCTTTATTCACTCCTCACCAGCATCTGTCGAAGAGTTGTCATCACCACTGATGCCAAAAGCCAGGCAGGGAGCGATTTGTGCAAACCCCGCTCAAGATAACAAGCTGGTTAATGGTGATCTCCCTGTCAGCAGCCAGCTATGCTCAGCCTGACAGCTCCCTTTCAGGCCTGGGGAGCTCTTATCCACTGTGACAGGGCCCCACGGGTGGAATGTGGCGAACAAAAGCCTCACACAAAGGGAGCACTTTGGGGCTGGAGCGTGTCTGGCTTCCCCAGGCTTCTGAGAGGCCACACAGTGACGGCAGATGACGAGGCTCTAATTAATATTTCATTCTCAGAGTGAGTTATCCCTTGGGGGAAGTTAAAGGTTTGCACATTCTGAGGCACAGTACTGAGGCTGGTGATCTCAAATTAAGAAAGTGTGTTGAAAGGAGCTGCTGCAGTCTTTAACCCTGGGCAAAGGACCATACAGCATTAGTGCACAATACCACTGTATAACTGCATAACTTGCTCTAGATCCTATTTTAAGGTCTGCTCCAATAAATCCATACATAAATACTTCTGGAAAACTTTCGCCCCTTTTTCCCTTTCTCTGGACTCAGGTATCTGATATTCTACATTGTGTGGAAGGTTTGTTCTCCAAACCATCCCACTAAATATGTTTTATGGCAACAATCAAATGAAGTGGCTGTGGGCTGGAACAGCTGGTTTCAGCAAAGAGAAGGACAAGAATGACCAGGGGAGGAGAGTTTCTGCTGCACAGCCACCTGCTCCCCACAGACAGCAGGAGGGCAGGGTCGCTGTGAAGGGACAGTGGGTTTGGAGGGACCATGAAGCAAAAGGGCTGTGGCCAAAGCAGGGCCCACATCACCCACTGCCCAGCCAGTGGTGAGGAATGGATGTGAACTCATCTGCAGTCCTGCCACAAGAGCAAAGATGAACCCAGGGTGCCCTGGTGACCTCAGGAAGAAAAGTTTCCCTTGGGCTTCTAACAGAGCTCATAAATGAAGGAGCAGGATAAACACAAAGACTTTCAAGATGTGTTACTTCATTGACTCTTAAGTGACTGCTAATTATTTGATTGAGTTGAAGGTGAGAAGAAGACACCTGGTCACACACTGTCTGCAAACACCTGCAAACAGTGTGTGAGGAGGAGTGAGCCAGGGAGGTAGTTGTTAAAAGTGTTTTAAATGAACTCTTTTATATACTGTTAAACTAGGGTTGAAATTATTGTAATTGTTGGTTTTGTTGGTATGTTCTTGTTCTCCCCCCATTAACGGGGTTGGTTTTGTCCCCATTTATCTGTTATGTAGACCCCTCCGAGCTTTCCTGAACATTCCTTATCAATCACCTTAACCTTGCCCCTACCCCCTATCCATCATTGTAAACCCCACCTCTTCTTCCAGAGCCTTCCATGTCCACCATCCCTGCTTTGATACTTTATTGGTGGTTATGTTGCATTCCCACCTCCATTGTATCCCCATGGGTCCCTGAGAGTGCCCGTCTCCCCTCACTCCTCCTCCCTTGGACCCCCATTGGGCCCTGGATGTGCCCTCCCCTGGAGACCGGCCCTATTTAACCTCTTGTGCAGCTGTCTTCTGGGTTTCTGTTCTTGGGTTCTCGTTGAGGGCATTCAGGCTGACCTGGGTTCCAATTCCTGTTGGTTCTTTCTTTGAGTTATCAAATAAAAGGTTTGGCTACTTGCCTTTTTGAGATCTAGCAAGAGTCCAGGCCTTGTTTTTGACAGTGGGCAGTCCCAGGCTGGTCTGTGCCTCTCCCCAAGGAGGACTGCACTGTGGAGCTCAACATTTTGCAAATACAGTGAGTTGGGGCACAGACGGATGTGAAGCTTGACAGCAGAATTACCTGAATATGAGTCTCGAAGTGCATCTTCCTATCAGGTTGGAAGCAGAAGAAAATCTGACTCATTATAATTATTACACTCTCAAAAGAAGAGGGGAAGCAGGCTTCCTTTTGTGATACTCAGAGAAAAACTTCCAAAGAGTTGACACAAACGCTGTGAGTCCTGTGGGGTGGGCACTGAGATCTGAGATAGAGGTACACTGAGATCTGAGGCAGATGGAATGGAAAGAACGGTCTCTGCAGTGTTGGGTGGCACCGGGCCACTGCTGGAAGCTCCCCACAGCCCAGGCAGAGCCTGCCCAGCCAGGGGAAAGATGAACGTGAGCTCTGTGAGACTGAGGGGTGCTTGTGCCCAATGTTTGTATTGGAGAGATTGCTGTGAGTATAAAGACAAACAGCAGAAACACAAATGTTGTGAGTGCTTGTTATCAGGAGCAGCCAAGAGTCTCTGTGCAGGTGTGTGAGCAGAGAACACCGATGGTACCTGGAGAGCGTGTTTGGCAATGCCCAGGTGCCAGTCGCTCTAAAGGGAAACCTCAGGGGAGCCGACTGCCCCACACCGGGACTCGGGGCCTTGTGCCAGCCCCGGGCTCCTGCACAGGGAGCACTGGCAGCCCTTTTCCCTGGATGGCAGCGGCTGGATGCACATTTATTCCAGCACACGGTTCCTCCCGGCTGTGGCATCCGGGCTCTGCGGGGCTGGGCCAGAGCCGGCGGTGGGCCCTGGGTGGGTGCCCTGTGTGGGTGCCCTGGCTCTGGGTGTGCCCTGTGTGGGTGCCCTGGCTCTGGGTGGGCCCTGGGTGGGTGCCCTGGGTGTGACCTGTGTGGGTGCCCTGGCTCTGGGTGTGCCCCGTGTGGGTGCCCTGTGTGGGTGCCCGTGCTCTGTGTGGGTGCCCTGTGTGGGTGCTCTGTGTGTGCCCTGTGTGGGCCCTGTGTGGGTGCCCTGTGTGGGNCCACCTGCCCTGCCCGCTCGCCGGCCGGGAAGAGGGGCCCGAGGCCGGAGCCGGGGCCCGACGCGCTCCTCGGTGGCCGAGATTAGTATTAACTTTTTGCGGCTAGTCGCTCTCAGCACTCTGAGAAAGGACATCTATATTAAAAAATATTTATAGCAGGATTCTGTACAGTCCGACCGCTGAAAGTTAAAGGGGTTATTGTGGTGGTGGCCCAGAGCTGGGTGGCAGTGTCCCACGGGGCCACTAGAGCAGCAGCTTCCCGTTCCGGTGGATCTTCAGGATCTTGCCGAGCCGCTGCTTGGCCGTGGCCATCCCCTTCTTCGTACGCTTCCCTGGAAGGAGAGCAGGGTTGGGGTGAGGACCCTGGCCCACAGCACCCCACAGGCACAGACCCCCCAGCTGCCCCCACAGCCCTGCTGCCAGCCCTGCCCAGCTCCTTGAGGGACGCCCACCAGCACCCCTCAGGAGTGGGGCTGCTGGCCATAGGACAGGGCTCGGCAGGGAGCACAGCCCCTGGAGAGCCAGCCCTGCTGAGCCGGGGGCACACCCACCCCCACGGACACATCCACACCTGCCCTGGGGAGACAATGCTCTGCTGGGCACCCTCCTGCCTCCCCAGCTCTGCTGGGCACCCTCTCACCCCTGCAGTGCCAGCCCTGGTGCCCTGTGCCCTCACCTGCCCTGGTCACTGCTTGTTTGCCCACAGGGAGTCAATCAAACCCAGCCCCACCAGTGCTACCCTGCTCCTCAGGGAGAGGCTGCACAGACACACAGACACACAGACACACGGACATAGACACACACAGCTCCACAGCTCTTCACAACTCCAAGCTCCTGGGTACCTCTCTGCCTTGGACCTGTTTCCCACCATTTCACCACAAAAGCACAATTCCAGGCAAATACATTCTTTTCCACTCCAGCTCTGCAGAGATCCACAGGGACCAACCAGCCCCTACCACAGGCTACACACATCCTGCCCTACGGCCATCCAAGCTGCCAGGGTACTGTGCACTACCTCTGATCTGCTCCACTTGAATACATGGAATTCGGGAAACATCAGCCACATTGCCTCACTCATCACTTGGGGCCTTTCCCAGTGGGATCACACGCAGCTTTCATGCTACACAGTGCCTGTCCCACACACCTGCCTCAGTTATGCTTCCTGAGCCAAGTTCAAGTGGAGAGCCTGAGGTCCCAGCCCAGACTCTGGGACAGCCTCAGCTTTTTCATACTTTCCCTATGGCAGACAGCGAGCAACCTCTTCCTCTCTCCTGCCTTTGGTTGTAGCTGTGTCACTCCCAAGGTTTGATACTCTGCTCCCCTGTGGCAACTCTTCAGAGAGATCTGCAGTGTGCCCTGCTCTACGTGTCCTGGGAGGACTGTCCTCAGCTACAGTCAGCACAGAGCTGGTGCACAGCCACCAGCACCACCCTGGGCAGAACAGCCTTCATGGTTGCATCCTCCCTTGGCCAAGGCTCCACCAGACAGGCTGTCTGGGATGTGACCCTGCAGGTGCTCCTCCTGAGCTGGGGCCGTGCTGGGCAGTGCTCCTGCCATGGGATCCCTCACACCCTGCAAACAACAGCCCAGCAGAAAAACACCAATTTGGCCCCCCGGTGCCAGGACAGTCGAGGCCACGGGCAGGGCTCTATCCCTGACCAGATCTGACTTGCATCCACACACCTGCGCCTGCGCCTGCCACAGCACACACGGCAGTGGGGCCCTGCGGAACTCTCGGGTTCCGCGGCCCTTCACCCTTCCCCACTCCTGCACCACAACCCAGGCGTTTCCTGGTACCTTTGGCGGAGGCATTGTTCTGCGAGGATGATGAGGGTCTCCTCTGTGTGAGGAAAACACCGGGTGCCATCGGCTGCGATCCCCTGTTAGGCTGGGCGACCCCAAAGGTGCTGGCCCCTGCGGTGTACTCGTGATCTGTGAGGCTGCTGGCCTGTGACTCCAGCTTCGGCTCGGGGGAGCCGCCTTCCTGAGCCGCTTTGCTTGCGTTGGGGGCTGACAGCTTCTTTTTGGTATTTTTTTTCTTCTTGCCTTTTTGTTCCTCCTTTAAAATGACAAAGATGAAGCTCAGATTAATCCGCAGAAGACCTTTAGCTAGGACAAGGGCCGGCGGCGTTGCTCAGGGTCCTGATACAACGACAGCCCAGGAGTTGGCCACGGACAAGCGCTCAGGGGCGGCTCCGACACGTCTGGCTCACAGCTGCACACACACGTCAGCCCCTCGTGCCTCTACATCCTCGCTCTGTGCGGGGCCTCCTCGTTCCTTACCACTGCGGCGAGCGGGAGCCAGCCGGGGCCGCACCGACATCGCCCTGGAGCTGCAGCATGGTCAGCATGGGCAAATCTTTCCATCTTCCACAAAAACTGGCACCTCCTATCTTCAGGGATCTTCACACCCTTGCACAACAGCACGAAGGATATTAAACATCCCACTGATTCAGCCTCTGCTTCCTGCTAGGTCACACACATCATCTCCTGACCTGTAACTGCACCTGGACATGCACACTGGGATGGCAGAGGTCTGCTACTGTCCTGTGTCTCTTGCCTACTACTTTCAGTTCCTTCTTGAAACCCTGCCACCATCCTTAAAGCTCTTCTACTCAACAGTCCACATCGCAGAAGCCCAAGGCCACCATAATCTGTGTCTCCACCAGCTTGCTGAGGTCCCTCACCAAGCTTGCTCCAGCAGACCTTGTCACCTCCGCATCTCACCATGTCATGGGGTTTCTCTGACCCCTTCAGAGACCAGACACTTACCAAACATCCAACCTGCTCCAGTTCTTTTCCTAAACTGACCCTTTGCTCACAGTTCACCAAACCTTTGGAAGCAAACCCTGGCACTTCGCAGTAGCCAATCTGCACAGACAGGCAATCACACTAGTCAGGCTCTCAAGTACACATCAAATACACTCCTTTGGGGCAGCCCTCTCCTGTTCTACCCCAGTAGCCATTCTCACTCCCTCATCCTTCCCTGTATGTTTCTCTGTCCCTTGCTGCCTTGTGACGTGGTCAGGCGTGCTGTGACACCGCTGGGCTTGGATCCCATTTATTTCCCTGAGACGGCAGAGCCCCGTGTCACTGGCAGGACCAAACACTACACAGGGCTGACACAGCACTAGGGCACAGCTCTGCTGCTGGGGACAGGGCTCTCCTTTCCTGACAGCTCCTACTCCCCAGGCAGCCTCTCACCTGCTGTGACAGCTTGGCGGCGGCGGCGGCGAGTCCGGTTTCGATGGAGGCGACTCTCGTGCCTTCTCGCACAGGTCGGTCCTGCCGGGGCACCGAGGGGCCAACTCGTGCTGCAGGGAGAGCAGAGGCAGGTGAGGGGCAGGAATGTGCCCGTGGCAGCAGCACAGCCACCACAGGGCAGCAGGCTCTGCCCTGCTCAGCCAGGAGAGATGGGAACAGCCTCTGCCCTTCCCTTCCCCAGGCACGAGCGAAGGCACAAGAGTCAGCAGCCTGCAGGCACGGTGGCACGGGCAGAAGCTGATAGGGTGTCACACAGCTGAGCAGCTCCACAGCCACCTGAAGCCAAAGCCACGTGGGTTTGTGCCCACATCCTGGGTTATGAGTGTCTTTTCCAAAGGGACAATGCTCACCTGCAGCCAGGGTAGGATATGCAGGGCCACAAGCTGATGAGACCAAGTGTGGGCTGCTTGTCACACACAGCACACACAGAGGGTGCCCTGCTCATGGGCCAGGGGTCAAAGTGGTCCAGGGGCCCCCTTGCCTGTCACTACCCCTGGTGAGCTCCAACAGACCCGGGACAGACCAACCCCTTCCAGATCATGAGCTTTGGCTGAACCTGGAGGAGACTATTCATGCTTTCTCTCACTATTCCCACAGTCAACACCTGAAATCCGCAGCAACTCAGCTGTCCAGGGACTGATTCACTGTTACACCACTGCTAAGAGAGCAACCAAATGATCTATCACTAAGAGTGTGAGGAAAAATCAACCAAGGAATTACTTTCTCTTGCCAGCTGATTGCAGGAGGAAGGCTAAAACTGCTTGGCAGGAATCCCAGTACCTGGATCACCTCCCACTGCCCTGGAAAGGGTTAAGCCTTCATCTGATAAATCACTAATTGTGGGTCATAGTTTCCACACTTGAAAAATGCCTGGGTTTTAGACATTTGCATGACTTAGCCTGAGTCTGGGCAGCACAGAGCACACTGACTTACCTGTTGGACTGTAAGGGGCATCATCTGAACTTTTCCTTTTCTTTGATCGGGATTTGAACACTGGATTATCTTCATCTGATTCAAGAGAAGGGTAAACTACAGTAGAAAACAAAGGCAAGAGTTTGAGTGTAGGAAACTGCTCTACCCTGTACAGAGCCCCCTTGCTCTGTCCAGGTGCAGCGACCACAGGCACCGCAGCTGGATGGTCCCCAGAAGTGCCAGTGAGCACTTCTGTCACAGCTGTGACTTCCCTCTGCTCTCATTACTCTTGGGAGCTGCTGCCATTAAACTGTGGCTGGCTCTCTATATTCCTCTATAATCACAGAATATCCTGGCAAGGGAGCCACAAGAATCATTGAGTCCAACTCAGTTGCCCAGAAAAGCTGTGATTGCTCCATCTCTGCAAGTGTCCAAGGCCAGGCTGGACAGGGCTTGGAGCAACCTGGTGTAGTGGAAAGTGTCCCTGCCCACAGCAGAGGATGGCCCTTGAAGATCCCTTCCAACCTAAACCACTCTATGATTCCATTATAATTGGGGCAGAACTGATGTAACTGGTGCAAACTGGCTTTGTGCCCATTTCTGCTGCAGACTCTTGCCTTCTCTGCCAAAACTCGAAATAGCATTGGATCCCTTTTCCATGTACAAGTTCAACTTCTCACTCCTCTCAGCTGGGGGTTTAATTGCTTATCCTTGCAGACAAGGATATTTCTGTCACGAGTAGCAGTACCTGACCCACATTTCTGGGACTGTCCCCCGTTTCTGGGTTGACTGCTGCAGCTTTGGGGGATCTCCATGTTTCTTGAGAGTTTTTTATTTTGCCACACCTCAGATGCAGCCTGCCTGGATGGCTGTGTGACCCTGGGCTCTGCAGCCTGCCTGGATGGCTGTGTGACCCTGGGCTCTGCAGCCTGCCTGGATGGCTGTGTGACCCTGGGCTCTGCAGCCAGCCTGCTGTCCCATCTATTTGCTCCCTTTGGTGTGCAGATCCCTGTTCGTGCGCTGATCCCAGGGTGGCACAGCGGGAGGAAGCACCCACTAGCAAAGGGACAATAGGACACGTGTGTCCATGCAGCCCCAGCACATCCTCACTCTGCTCCCCTCCGACTCACCATAATCTGAGTCCTTGAAACAGGCATCCAAGTGGTCCTGGTCCTCATCATAATCCTCAATGTCGATGCTGTTCTTTGTGCTTTTCTTCAGCAGCCGCTTCCCAGCGTTTTTGTTACCACCACCACCAGTTTTTTTCGAGTTTTGTGTGGAGAAGGAGTTGTTCTTCGCCTGATTGGTGCCCCACGATGTCTGCAGGCAGGACTCTGAGGCCTGGAGGTTTGCCATGGAGAGCATGCCCTGGATGGCTTCCTGTGTGCTGGGGGAAGCAGGTGGCTGGCTGTGGGACACAGGGAGAGATGCTGGAGCACTCAGTGATTCCAGAAACACCAACCCCTCGCAGGCAGCTCACTCCTGCCATGGCAGTTGTGCTGGGAGAGACCCCCTGATTCTTCTGAGTAGCTGCACATACCACCAGGGCCAGCAGGGAATTTTATGGGACAGGAGTAGCACAGAGAAGCACCCCAGACGTGGGGGTGATGGCCCAGGAGCCAGGGAGAGGTGGGCAAGTCCCTGGGGCTGTCAGCACTCTGAGCCGAGCTCAGGGAACTTCCCAAAGCCAACAGCAGAATTCCTGACAGAGCAGTGTCTCTATAGCAACTATCATCATCATCATCATCCTCTCCTCCTCTCCTCATCTTCATACTATCTATCTATCTATCTATCTATCTATCTATCTATCTACCTATCTATCTTTAATAATGTTATTTTTCTGAACTACCAAATCATCCTCCTCCTCATAATCATATTTTAATAGTATTATTTATAATCTATACTACCAGCTCCTGTAAAAGGAGAGCTTATGCATCACCACTGGTGGGGGATGTCATGGGGGGCTCTGCTTGAAACTGTCTGGAAGTTTTTGGTCCCAGTTCACCACTCCAGGAGCTGCTGGAAATGAATTCTGAGACTGGCAGAACACATCATCCAGTAATTCCAGAAGTCTCAAGTTTGGGCAAGTAGTGAAATGCAAAAAACCCTTGTTGTGGCAATAGTATTTGTTACACTTGTTATACGTTTGTTGTGCAATAGAAGCCACAAACATGCAAGAGAATTAACAGCACCCTTTCACTTTCTCCTACTTGAGCTTAATCTGGGCTCTGAATAGAACAATGTACAAGGGCATAAAGGAAGTTTCTGGGCACTAATGGCATTTAGACATAATCCTGAAAATTACTTAAGACTGGTTCACAACTCAACAAACAGAAGAACATAAAAAACTTATTTAGGAAAGAGCCATTTAAATCCCTCCAATATCATGCCTTCTCCTCTGCCTTGTCCCTGGCAGAGAAATATTTTGCATCATCTACAAGGAATTATCATATTTTCTTCCAGCCTTTTTCCCTGAACTGCTTTTCCAAACACTGAACTCTCAAAACACTGCAAACAGACCATCAAATACTGACCACTAAATGGGCAAATCAGAGAGGAACTGCCTTAAGCAACACAAACTTCAACAAATAAATGGTGGGATATGATCAAAAACAGTGGTTTTGAGAGTTAAACACCAACCTGAAAAGGGAAAAATGTCTCAGAGCTGCACATGGGGCAGAGTGTTTCTCATTAGGGCATGTGCCTGGTGTGCTTCCATCAGGAGTATTTCAGCTTTCTAAGCCAAAAAAAATTCAAGAAGACTCAGGAAGCAATTTTGAAGCTCTGGAAGAGCCATATCCCCTTTCTGTAGCTTCAGCAATGATTTTTAAAAAAACACATTTATGAAAGTAAACTATGAGTGAGTTACAATTATGGCTTAAAAAAACATTTTAAAAGAGCATTGGAGCAGGAACAAAGCAGCCACAGTGCTTCTGCCCCTGCTCTATCCCCACAGCCACCTCCAAACAGGAGGTGGCACTGAGGGATAGCCCAGACCTGCCTCCAGCCCAGCAGCCTTGCCCTGTCCTCGGGCTGGCAGCTGCTTTTGTGGGTGCTCTTCACCACCTGCCACTGCCACCTCTCTCCAAGGGGTCACCCCCTCTAGGCACATCATCTCCTTCTTCCCATCAGCAATTACTGAGTCTCCTACCTGTATCCTCATATTTAGAAACTGAATTTATAATATCTCAGCAAAGTATTGCTGACTGAGCAGTGGCTCTGAAGAAGTAAGAAATGTGTAGAACTAAAGAACTCAAACAATTTCAAGTACAAACCCAGTGTTTCCTTCCATTTTTGAGTCACATCTGGACACAAGTAATTTTGCTCCTTTCTAGATCAGGTGATGACCAACCCTCCAAGCTTTTTCCATATTCCATATTAGCTCTTTCAGCCTGTTCCCACACTCAGAGCAGCCCTTCTGCAGGTGCTTTGTCCTTCCCTCTCCCTGTCTTGCTAGCACACACAGCTGAGCTGCAGTTCTCTGGAGCACGCTAGGTAATGCCATCAGGGCCTCTGGGGTGGCCAGCTGCTGGTGGCAGCCCAGGAATTTACAGAATAAGGTTTCCCATGATTCAGATAAGGCCACTATCAAAAAAAGCCCTGACCTGCTTCCCAGTGACTGTTGGGACCCAGCACTGGTCTGACAGGGATTCAGGCACCGGCTGCTTGTGTGGGAGGCGATCCCACAGTGACACAGGACTGCTCCACAGCATCTACAACGTGCACATACAGATCTATAAATGCAAACATTCCCCAGCCTTCATCTGCCCTGCAAGCAGAGAAAGATGGGAATTGTTCTTGAGAGTCAGACGTGAGCACAGTGGCCTCATGCTGGGACACGGTGTGTTTGCATTTTGTGTTTCTTCCGCTTTATTTTCAAAGAGCACGTCACGGCCATTTGAAAAGCCGAGCGTAATTATGAAACACAGAAATTACATTTACCAGGGGCTTTTTCCAATCAAGATGCAGCACACACTGCCAAACCCAGTGTTTATCCCAGAGCCAGCACTGATAGGACACATTCCCACTGTAACTCAGCCGAGCCTGGTGACGGGACAGTGTGTGGGACTTTGATTTCAGAAACCACAGAGCCTTCAAACACCCTGCCTACAGCAACCAGGCTGAGGGGGGAAAGCAAAGGCCTGAGGCCTGCTCTGTTCTGGTTTAACCCCTTGCAGACAGCAAAACACACCCCAAGCAAGGCAAACTATTGTCAAGGACCATTTCAAAGCACGTGGTGAGCTGTGTTATCCACAGAATGGCCAGCAGTGTACACAGGGCCAAGGAAGATTTGTTTAAGTTCTTATAATAGTTGATAAATTGTCTTTTTTATACCAAACTTCCAGCATGGGAGTTTTATTAACCTGGCAACTTTATTACAGTGTCAGACACACCTAACTACTTTATGATGTGTCTAATCACCTGCCAAAATGTAACTGTAAAATCAATATAAACACTCATCCCATTACGGACCACAGTGCAGAATGGAAAAGAAATTCACAGGGATGGTCAAGCAGACAAGTGTTCATGTGATTATTTCTTTCCACCACTCACTGTTTGGATCACTGAAGGATCTGGTGCTGTACCTTACTGGCCATAGCCCAAAATATCCAGGGTCAGTTCCCATGTTCCCCATAAGACACCACTAAGCCCAGGCAGACATTTCCATTTCAGGTACAGAAGTTTCCTATATCCTTCTTCCAAACACCTGGCATTTGTGGCACCTTATGGAGGTCCATGCCTTATAAAGCACCTCTCACCTTATGGGAGAAATGCTGGTCATTTAGATTCCTTAATTACAACCTCCCTACATTAAAAACCATAATTCCCACCCTCAAGCTGCAGTCACTGAACTCTCTCCTTCTTTTGAATTATTCATCTATTACAGCATTACTGCTAAAACTGATCTTCAGCATCTACAGATATGAAATTCTCTATTTGTTCAATTTATACCACCAAAATCCTTCCTCCCTCTCCCTCCAGATCACAAGATAAAGGAAGAGCTTGCTTTCTGGAGAATAAGCAGTTACCAAGCTGCAAAATTCATTCTCACTCACACACAGCCACAAGAGAGCAATTTTGTTCACAGGTAAGAGGGAAAAGCATCCCCTGGTGCGTACCTGTTGGTGTTATACTCTAAACCCCCAACTTCCTTGCTTGCCTGCAAAAGATCAAGAATTCCTGCTGAACTTCCACTCTCTTTCTTTACTTTGGAATTGCGTCCTGGCTTTGCCTCTGTGTCAATGTGAAGCAAATCTTCATCTGATGAGTCCTCACTCTGCAAAAACAAGGAAAGGGCTAAAAAAGGTGGAAACTCAGTGAGCTGGTCCCCAAGTGATTTCTGCAGCCTGCTGCTCCTCCAAAAACACAGGCCTAGTCCTTGGAATTTGCTTTCTTTAAACAAAAAACAAAACAAGAACAAACAAAGAACAAAACCAAGTGCATGGTAAAAATCCATTTCCTTGCAGCCTGTAGGCATGGTAGGCTTTTCTTTCCCCTTCCAAAGCTTTGAGATCTGATCCTGTTCATGGGATCAATTCCCTTTAACAGTGGTGTTTCCATCCCCACAGCAGCAGACTGGGAGGATCAGGCATAGGAATGGGACAGATCTGTAGGGACAGTGTCCTGTGAGGCTCTGGAAGGGAGCTGCCTGCATCTGGCCATCTCTGTGGGGCTGAGATTTCTAGGCACTCTAGCCTGGTGCCTAAGAAAACGAGTTTTTCCCCCTTCCTGTCCTGATTTCAGGCTGGTACAGCACCAGCCCTGATTGCTTGGGGTGTCAGTCTGTTTCTCCAGGGACTCCCTCCTTAGGCTCCTGCACAGGGAGACACCCCCAGCCCCAGACCTCAGCTGCTGACTCAGACAGAGGTCTGCACTTCCTCCTGAATGTCCCACACACATACCAGGGTGAAAAGAACTCCTTGGTACTGAAGACCAAACGTTTTGGTCATCTTTGTTTCTGTCTTAACAAACTATTTTGCTTTTTCTGACTTACTCCGGTATTATAATATAAATTTGCATTAACCACAGCTGGGAAAAACATTTAATTTTAATGTCATTTGATTTCCAGCACTGAGCTTCTGACACAGAGCCAGCTCACAGCTGGGCTGTTCCATCCTGCAGGTGAGCTCCAGCCAGGCTCACTGACCCTGCAGGGGCTCAGGGGTGTTCTAGACCTCAGTCCAGCACGGGCAGAGAGACTCTGCCACTGGCACAAAACAAACACTTGAGTTGCTACATCACAGGAAGAGAATCACAGAATGATTTGGGTTGGAAAGGACCTTAAAAAGACTCAAGTTCTAGGAGTGCCTCCTTGTGAAGGCACAATAACCTCATACCTTGTATGGTACCGACTCCACCTTTGGCTTCTTAACAGGAGTGTGCTGCAGGGCTTCCTTTTTATCTGATAAAACTGAATAAATAAAAAGAAACAAAAAGTCATGGGTTTTTTCCCTTCAAAAACCAGCCCTCCTATTCCACTCACATATGACTGACAGGTAAGACATGGCTTTCTTTATTATAAATTGCATAGATGTTAAAGATTATATAGATTGTTCCAGACAATCACCACCTAAGACTTTGTTGAGCAGATAAAGACAAACCAGGAAATATCCTTACAGGGCAGTTCTCTTTTTGCAGTGTTTTTCTTTCTTCTGATTGGAAACTCATCAATTTTTAGTTCACCATCATCTGACACATATTCATATTCATCCCGTACAGGTTTGGCTTTGTCCTCTTTAAAATTCTGCAGTGACCCAAACACGCTGGTATTCAGATGAGTTTTGACTCCCTTTGAACTGGAAAAAAAAATGTTTACAAATCAGTAACAACACCCTGAGCAGAAAACAGCTTGTGACTTGACAGACAATGAGTATCTCTATGCAGAAATGTCAGTCAAATCAAACTCTTTCTGGGGTGCCAAAGCAACCAGAATAATTTTACAAACACATTTCTGAACCTGTGATTTATATCTCAAAATAGAGATATAGAGTGCTCTGACTAGAGCACTAGAGGAAGTTTTAATGATAAGGTCTTTTCTACATTGATCAGAAAGGCAGATTTTCATTGTCTTGCATAAAAGTATAAATAGCAACTTTTCAATTTCCTTTCTTAGTTGTCATACTTTTACTTACCCAAGCAACTTCTTATTAGAGAAAGAGAATGTGAATTTGTTGTCTTTATTTCCTGGTAAAGGAGTCTTTTCTGATTTGTGTTCCTCTTCCATTTTTAGAAGTGAATCAGGTTTACTGTTCTGAAAGGCAAAAGACCAAAACAAAAGAAATAAATCAGTTACATGAGTCATTTATGTTTCAGTTTCCCAGGTGCCCTCAGAATCTAAGCCTGTTCAATTTTCCCTTATTAAAAACCTTATTTTCTCTGCAGGCAAAATGTTCTATTCTATGAGTGAATTTCACTCACCCTTCATTAGCCCTCAAGAAAGGCAAGCTTTTCATCCATAGGGCATAATTCAGATTTCATTAACTCTAATTTTATGCCATTAAAATTAGTTACTATTTACTAGCTATTAGTTAGTTATTGATTAATCATTGATTTCTCATTAGTTATTAATTTCAGATTTAAACTAGTGGGACTGTGTCAGAACAAGGATCACAAAAGGGATCTCACTGTTAACAGTCTGTTGTCACTACAGACAAATGGACAATTAAGCATATGCTTTTGAAGAATCCATCTACCCCCTCTTCCTTTATCAGGGATTAATTGATTGTTTCCTGCTTAATTTTCTTTTCTTTGGGGGCTGAAAATTGATGTTTCACTTGGGCAGAGCCACAAACAACTCCCTACCTTTGGCTTATCATCATGTGGCAGAATTTTACAGAATTTTACCTTGTATTTCCATTTGGCTTCTGTTTTGCTCTTATTTTGCTCTCGAACTTCAAATTTCTCCACCTCATTCTGCTTGCTCACAGATTCCTTATTGGGAACACTTAAAACATTCTTTGCAGCCTGGGAAAAAGTCAGGGAAAAGTCCTCTGAATGAGGATGGAGTGTTGGCATGTCAGAAACACAGGCTTTATCTGGGAAATAACATGATGTATTTTTGAAAACCCCTGTTTATTCTTTCTGAACCCCAAAGTGAAGTTCAGTCAAATACTGCTCCTTCAGAGTGTGCAGAACAGCAGCTTCACTTCTCCTTGTGGTACACCAATACTCTCCTCTCCCTGTCTGTCACCCCATGACAGGTTTCACAAATTGCACACAAACTGTTAGAACTTCAGAAACATTTTAGGAAAGATTTATGGATGTTTCTTCACAAACCATTCCTCTGTCAGTGCCTTGACGGATCCTGGCCCCCACCGAAATCAGAAGCAAAATTCATGCTGAATTAAAGGGCATCAGAATTAAAGGATGTCAAAAAGAAACTTGTCCTATGTGGGCAAAAATGGAAGAACACTATTGTTCTGTTTTCAGAACTCATTCTAGAATAACATCTCAAGCAAATGAGACACTGCAGAAACAAGTTCATTCATCACTGACACCTTTTGAGATCAGGGGGTTTCTGGGAGGCTCCACACCAACAAACATACCAACATACATACAAAATAACCAACAAACAAACCAAATCCAACAGCTGGGTAAGAGAACAGAGATGAGTTAAAAACCTTTCTTCTGCTTCTGCAGAGCCAGGGTTTCACAATGTGCTGCACTTATTACTTTTGGCATGAGACTTAGGGAGTGATTTTATCTCTCTGAGGGTGGGAGAAGAGGAAGAGGTTAAAACACGACCCACCTTGCCCTTCTTTGGCGTCTCGATCTTGGTCAGAGCCTCCTTGGTGTGTGCCTCCAGCAGGTCAAGGTTGGGGATGGCCGGTGGTGGGCTCTCCTTCGCCTTCTTTCCTTTCTTTTTGCCTTCTCCCTTCACTTTCGGGGTTTTGGGAGGTTTGGGGGGCTTGGGAGGCTTTGGGGGTTTGGATGGCTTGAGTTGTTTGGGAGTTTTCACAGTTTTGGGAGTCTTTTTTTTAGGGAGCTTTTCTACAGGTGGGGGCGGAGGGGTGACCTGGACGGGCGACGGAGCCTCCTCCTTCTCCACAGGACAGATCTCCTCGGCCGTGGGGTTGGCACTGGTGTCTGCTTTGCTGGCTTTTGAAGCATTCTGTGGTTTGACACAAAGCACAGGCAGTTCAGACACAGCTGTCCCCTTTCTGAAACTCACCTGCACCCTCCATTAGGTGGGGAAACAAACCCCAAAGATGCCCAGAGATGCGATGGAGGGGAATCAGTCTGACCGAGGAATGAAGATCCCATCAAGGCCACCCCCAGCTTCCACCCCCACACTCCTCAAGCCTGGCCTGCAGTAACTCCAGAGGCTTGGTAGGCAATGTGACCCTCACTGGGCTGTACCATCACTGTTAAATGGCCTGTCCAGGATGGACAAAATGAACAGCATTCTGCTTAAAATGCTGATCAGCTTGAGCAAAAACCCTTTCCATTTCATTCTGATGTGATAAATATAGCAGAGTCACATTTTATGCCCTCGAGAAAAATTAGCAGTAAAATAGCTGCCCAATTAAAATTAACACTGACTAATTAAAAAGAAATTATTTTCTGCTTAACTTGCCATTCTGACAATCTGACTGCATCAAAGAGGATCAAAGGACCAGATAGGTTTCAGTTTTGAGGTCTCTGGATGTGGTTAGGAACGGGGTGGAATGCAGCACAACATCCTCCTGAAGGAGCTGAGCCAGCTGTGGTCACCTTTTGCTGTCACACATCTCCACCCAGCAGGATTTGGGACCACACTCAATGGATGATACCTCCATGCATTTCATAGCCTGGACCCCCAACATAGTAAATATTATAAAAACAGCACAAACCTCACTTAATCTTATTTCTTTGGCAAGGTCCTTGATAAGTTGTGCTGGTTTGAAGTTTTCTGGTAGTTCATCTTCATGCTCTGCTAAAGCCTAAAACACAACAAAACCAAATTGCTGCTTCTCTGCATGTTTTCTTCAGAAATAATAATAATAAAAAAAAAACCTCTTGAAATGAGTTGTCCATGTATTTTCCTATGTATTTAAACCAATCTTGACTGCATTAGATATTCAAATAAGATTTTTTTTCTTTTTCCTTGTTCTGGATGTTATAGTAACAAGTTGTCCTGAGAGAACAACAGTCAATCATCTTTTTTCAGATATTATTTAATTTTCACAAGTGCAACATCACTTTGCTCACCCCTAGTTCTCCCAATTCCTTCTCTTTGGCATCTTAGAATTGGATGTTTTGCAATGGAGATGTTACTTGTTCCAGAATTTCCTCTCTGCTCCAACAACTGACAAATCCATAATATTAATCCAGCCTGCTTCTCCTACCTGTTTTTTAGTCCACGACCTGAAAGCACCATTGAGAATCTTTGCTCCTTGAAGCAGATGAGCAGGAGGTTGTTGTCCAGCTTTATGCAAACCTGAGAAAAAAATCAGTGTCATTTAACCACTGACAGCTACAGTTGTTTACAGAAACCATTTAATTTGAAAATTGTAGCTGGGAAAGCTGAAGTTAACTTTTTGAGAGTTGGTCTCCACAAATGAATTCCTACTACAACCTGATGGTAATAAGCAGTGTTTTTATTGTGTCCCAAATCCAGCTGAGCCTTCCCACCCCGTGCTCCTGTCAGTTCTGGCTACCTCAGGTGTCAAAGCTGAGCCATCAGGGCAGGCAAGGAAATGCAGTTTTACCTTTGAATTTCTCTAGTAGATGCTTCCCCATGTACCAACACGCCGTTTCAAAGTTGGGAAACTGGGTCAGACTGACGATTTTCAATCGCCTTTCTACTTCATATGCCCTGCAAGACAAAGCCACACAACCTGAGCATGGCAGAGCACCAGAGTGTCACACTTTGGGTCACTTTGCAGTGGGTCCCCTCTTTGTCCTGCTGCCACACAGGCTGGCCTCGGGCCAGAAGCACAATGTGACAGCACCAGTGAAGTACTGAGGTACAGATGTAGGGTGGTTTTATGGCATTATTTGCCCAGAATCAGTAAAGAATCGCTCCTATGGTCTTACACCAGGTAAGCTGGTGTGGGCTGATCCAGCAGGGAGTGGCAGGTGCCAGGGTAAAACTCCAGGCAGTGAGTAACAGTTCTGCCTTCAGGATGTGGCCACATCAACCCAGGCACCTCAGGCATCCCCCCATGCATTGCCAACAGGCCTGAGGATAACTCAGCACGAGGGAACACAGACACAGGGGACAAAGGTGGGGCTGCACCAGCCAAAACTGCCCAAGAGCTACACCAGCATTACTGTCAGTGATTCATTATCACTGATTTATTAAAAAAAATGAGCCTCTACATAACTTCAGATTTTAAAGACAGATTACCTCATCTGCATTTCCACGCTTAGACTGTGTAGAAAATGTCCTGCAAAAGCCAGGCAATCTACTGGAGTCAGAGTTGCATAAATCCAACCTAAAAGAGAGAGAAGAGTCCTCAAGACAAGAACTTGAAAGCCATTAGCACAGACTTCAATCCCAAATGATGGCTACACTTCACTGAGCACCTTTCTCCACAGGTACCCACCCAGCCCAGCCCCAGAACCACACACACTTTGAACAAAGCTGCCTCTGGTCCCTTCTTTGTTTTGCTACATAATGGCAGCTGCTTTCCTGTCTCCACAAAGACCTGAAAGAGCCCAACATGTGCTTTATCCAGTGTCAGAATCAGGTGTTTTCCAAACATGTATTTTCATACAAAAATCTACTCAAGCTAGCGAATCTCTATAAATTGCTCTGTGTTTGTTTCACCATCTGCTCCACAGATGGTCATAAGAGAAACACCTACTTTCCACTTTATACACCCAAGGTAAAATTCAAGTGTGTAAACATTTGGTGCAAGAATCTGCTCACAAACAGTGATCTGTGGTTCCTGAGTGTCACAGGGGACTAATGTCTGTGGCAAGGATTTGGGGGTGTCATGGTCAGAATGCAAATTCATTCAATGGAAATTGTGTGTTAGGTGTCAGAAAGCAGAAATTACATGGTGGATACAAAAAGAAAACTCATGAGTTACTACAACCCAGCTAGACCATGAGTGCAACACTCTCCCTACTAGTTTAACTTTTAAAAGGCTGCTAAAATATTAATAGAAAGCAGTAAAAGTTCAGATTTGTTTTGGGTTTTTTTGTAAGCACATGAAATAAAACCTCAACTGAGAATTAGACTCCATACTTTGTCAGAGAAAGTTGACAAATCCCACCCCTCTGGCATTTTGGATGATATTTTGGATGGTTTTTGGATACTCTTGGTATCTCCCTCCTCTCCCACCTGCTCACCTGATGGGATGAAGAGTGTCTGGCCTTGTTTAACGGTGCATTTGTAACATTTATCTACTTGGTCTGCAAAAAACATCTCACTGTGATTTGCTGCTGACTGCCAGCGTTCATACAGAGAAATATTTGCAGAGGCTGGTTTGATGAGATAAAAGATCTTTTCTCCCTGAATTAGAAATATAAAATTAGCAGTGAGCAGCCAAATCAAACAACTCTGCACTGGCGTGCACACACACAAACACACACACACAAATATTTATCTAAATATACATTAACATTGTGTATTTTGGCAGTATTTGAATAAAATTAGTCAGCTATGTTGAGAAGGGGCTAAAATAATGAAATCACAGCTGACCACATCTGCTCAGAATTGTGGGAGTGATGGTAAAAAAGGTTTAGAGTGCCAGGTTCCATCACTCTGCAAAAATAGGATGTGGTGTCTTTAAGGCCTAGAGTGATGAATGTGCAGAAGGCACTAAACAAATATTAAAATCCTAATAGAGAGAAAATACACAGAGGACTTCCATGCTCCAAGTGCTTCCTCACTCAGGAGACCCTGGCACCCCTGGGAGTGCACTCAGAGCAGTTAAGGCTCGGATGCAACAGGACAATGACAAAAAAACCTGAGAGCTGAATTTTGGAGAGAATTCTATGATGGCCTTTGTGGATAAAATTGAGTTTGTTACCAGCTGCCCTGGAAAGCCAGTGTCCCTCACCTTCAGCACGTGGTACCAGGCAGAGGCCCCCCCAGAGTCTATGTGGAAGTCAGTGTAGCTGTCCTTCACGCAGATCAGACAGTACTTGGTCACTTTGGGTTTAGCCAGCAGAGCATCGTCAGGCCAGTAATTCTCCACCCAGGACAGCTTCTTTACGATGTCAGGAGGCTCCACAAAGCTGGACATCCTTACAGAGAGAGTGGAGAACAGACAGGCAGCTTTTAAAACAGAGCACCAGCACCCTGCTACAGCAGGAAGCAAGTGTGACAAATACTTGCATGGCAAACTGGAGCAGCTCCTCTCGTGGCAGTGGAACTGCTCTTCATTCAGAAAATTAGGGAAAACTGTTTGCAGACAGAGATTTAAGGGTTTTTAAGTGTGATGACTGAAAAACCATCCTTTGCCTTCTTTCAGCAGTATCATCTACGATCAAATATGTGTTGGCTGAAGTTTTCCAGCCCCTGCTATGCAGGCTCAGGTGCCAACACTGCTGTGATCACCTTCCCAGCCCCTCCAGAACAGAAAGTGAAATGTGTGCACTTGGACAGAAATCCCCTGGCAAACCGTCAAAATTACCTTAATATTGAGAATCCAGATAACAATAACATTAATGCTTATGGATAAATAACTCTTGATCTGATGCTGAAAGTAAGCAGTCTTATTTAGATGGACTGTTAAAAAGCTCAGATGGATATTAAAAGCTCAGAAGAAGGAAAAGGTCTAATTTGGGTTGATAATGTTAATATATTTAATATATATATATCAATAAATATATATATATTAATTTATATATTTTATATATAAATTATCTATATAAAATATATATAGTTCTGTAATTTATATGAATGAATCTATGTACTTAAGAACATACTCTTACTGGATATGTATCTAAATTTATACAAATTATCTTCATTCACATTGAACATATATTCCTACTTATTTATTTATTTATATCATTCATATATTATGTTTTAGTCAAATACATAACATGTACTATAATCACAGCTGAGACAATGCAGTGGCATGACAACCAGGTATTGTTTCATCCTAGAATGTGCTAAATTTTAGATTCAAATAGTCCAAAATTTGGGCTGATAGTGCAGGAGGTGAAGATTCACTGCTAGACACTCTAAAATACCGCATCAGTAAGAGTATCTGCACTTCAAACCAGTATTAAATGCTCCTTCTTGTCATTTGTGCTCAGTGTCAAGCCCCGGTGACAATAACTCCATTTCCATGGCAGGGAGGATGGAGCTGTGCATTCAATTAAACTGTCACTGTCTATGCTAAGAAATAAAATATTTGCTATTAATGTCTCGATTAGCAGAGTATGAACGACAGCTCCAGCAGTCCTTCAGGAAAAAAGACATCCCATTATTTGGGGATAATGGCAGAAAGCTGAAAGAAATCTCTGCTGAGGATCCCGGTGGTCTCAAGCCTGCAGTGAGCAGAGCTGCTCTCTGCAGCAATGGGGATGAGCCAGTAAATCCCAGCTACAGGGATCAGGGGAATGCCTGGGAAAAATGAGCTTGTCATTATCCACCAGCCTTCTCTTTTCAGCCTTCATGCTGAAGCAGAATGCTCCCCAAAACAACCATTCTTTGTTTCCCTGCTGACATTCATTATCGTCTGTGTAGTGTGTTTGTGTGTAAAAGGATGCTTTCCTTTTCCTGGTGCTTCCCTTCTGGAAGCATCAGCTCCCCCAAAGGATCCAGGGCCTGTGAAAATATCCTGCACAGCTTTTGGTGTTGGGTACCTCAGAGCTGCCCCAGCTGGAAGGAAATCACTTGCTCAGTTATGGCAGCAGAGCCACAGAGAGCACCAGGCAGTGCCCTCAGCATTGGCATCAGCTGATCATGGAATCACAGGGTGCTTTGGGCTGAAAGGGACCTCAAAGATCATCTTATTCCCATCTGCTCCTGGCCAGGTCACCTTCCACTGTCCCAGGCTGCTCCCAGCCCCGTCCAGCCTGGCCTTGGGCACTGCCAGGGATCCAGAGATAGCCACAGATTCTCTGGGCACCTGTGCCAGGGCCTCCCCACCCTCCCAGCCAGCAATTCCTTCCCAATATCTGATCCCTCTGACCTGCACCATCATCCCAAGCATCACCCTGAGCCTGAGCTGCAGTCAGACAGATCACAGGGCAAAAGCTCTGAAAGCAGAACTAGAACATGTGCTGTAGGACTGTAGGATTACAGAATTATAACAAAAATCCAAAATTATTTTCCTCAAAGGACACCCAGTGACATGTTACCCTACACCTAAAGTCAGAGCAACCAGAAGCTACTAAACAACTTTCCCTAAGGAGAAAAAGCACTTGGGAAGGCAGAGGCTGAACCCAGCCCAGATACAATGTGGGGTTCAGTAATTTAAAATTATAATCTATATATAATTCTATGTAAGTAATATTAATATAATTTTAAAATAACCACATACGTAGTATAGTTTACAGGTATGTTATTATATAGAAATACGTGATATACAAAATAATAAATTAAATAGAAATGAAAATCAAGATAAATCTGTAGTAATTACTGTGCAGCAGGCTGGACACTTACCTGGTGTCAGAGAACTCCAGGTTTGTGACATTTAAGACCCTTTTCCTGTTTGTGCTGTAGTAGTAATCCACAAATTCCTTGAGCTTCATCTTGCAATCTTTCTGCTTGGTGACATCAGTGACATCAACACTCCGCTCTGGCCCTGCACAATAATCCAGTGGAGAGGAAGGGTTGATGGACAGCCTGCCTTGCCCCCTTTTCCATGCTTGGGGGTGAGTTAACCTGCCCAGAATCATCTCAGTCTTCTAATTTTCTGACCTTTTCAGCCCTTGGATCCTCCCTGTTGCTTATGCATGTACCCACACAGACACCCAGGCATGGAAGAGCTGCATATACATAAATACCCATCAAATGGTGCTTTTGTAGCCATGTCCCTGGGAAAAGCATCCCTTGATCCTGCTCTGGCTGCTTGTGCAGAGCTGTGGAGAGCAGTGCAGGCTGGCTTAGCCTCACTGCCAAGCTGACACAGATAACAAGAGCGACTTAATTGCTAACTACAAGCTCCCACTACATAACAAACACGGAGAGATGGCACAGCCAGTATTTCACAGCACATTTTACAGGTTTCCATATGACCAGTTGTGTCTGTAAAGCAGCTGAGCTCCAAGCAGGTACCCACCGACGTAGTTCTCCACGTCACTGACGTAGAAGGTGGGAGCAGGCACTGCCAGGCCCAGCCCATCCTTCTTGGGGACCAGGATGGGCTCTGCAAAGCCCTTCTCCTCCAAATACTCCACTGTCAGCTGGCTGCCTGGCACCTTCAGCACTATGTCTTCAGCACTGCAAAAGCAAACACAGATTCAGTGGTGAGGGGCTCCACGCTGAGTTTGGAATGTTTGCTGTTGAAAGGGAGACACTGTGAAAAAGGAATTACAGGCAAATTGGGTACATAAGCCAAAACCCCATTTACTGCAAGGCATGAAGGGCACAATAAAATCAAGCAACATCAATAGCTCAAGCCTCCTGCTCCAACTACTGGGAAGTCCTAAAATAACAGCTTATAGCAAAAGACCATTTTGCTCAGCTGTAGGATCAGCCAAGCTACAAGTAATCAATGTTAAAGGAATTAATGTTAAATGCTTCACTCTCAAGAAAGTGAGATTTAAAATGTTACCCCATCTCAAATAAATGGCCCTAGAAATGCTTTGCAAATCATTTTAAAGCAGTCAAATTATGTGCTCAGGGAATATTCTGCAGATCATTTTGAAGTGGCAGGGACACCTTCCACTGTTCCAGGCTGCTCCAAGCCCCAGTGTCCAACCTTGGACACTTCCAGGGATCCAGGGACAGCCACAGCACCCTGTGCCAGGGCATCCCCACCCTCCCAGGGAAGAACCAATGTAATTGTTAGCACTGCTACTCTTGCTACTCCAGCGCTATTTTGGTATTCACCATTTTAGAACAGAATTATATGAATTGTATTTTTTGCCTTTTTGCTCTCTTCAGAGTTCATTTTGACCTGAGACCCTCCCAAGCACTCACTGGAGATTGTCATTCCCTGCCTTGTGCTGGGAGTCACCAGGGATGCTCCTGCTCTGAGCTCTCTGTCCCCTCCAGCACCCTCTTGGTGCTTGGTCTGTCCCTTCTGCACATCCCATTCATTTTCTTTGGAGAAGAAAATTCTTCCACAAGACTTTGTGTCCGAGCCCCAGATCTTGCAGGCGTTTCTTTGTGCTACAGACCCTCCTGTCTCAGGAGATTTCATTTGGCAGCAGGATTTTCTTATGCACACATTAATGAGTAACAAAGAGAAAAAATGGGGGGCTGTATTATTTATAACCATTTTGGAGTGACTCAGAGATACTGTATGTGTGAATGCAGTCTCAGAGGCCACCTGAGGTTACTGAAATCAGTCTGCCTGGGCCATAAATATTTTTTTTAAATGAGTTGTGCAACCTATCAAATTACAAAAAAAACCAAAACAACCAAACAGCAAAGATAGAAAAACCTTGCAGGCCCCAATGGAAATAGCCAGGCAAGTAAAAATACTGGATCCTGAGCTCAGCAAAACACACCTGTAAAAGCCACAGAACACTTTCCAGAATTATCTTCATTTTTTTCTTTAAGCAGCCTAAGAGCAGTATCTTAAATTAAATGTGAAATTAAACTCTCCATAAAAAGGAAGAAGTTCTGTGTTTACTTTGCCAGTCTCCAAGGATTATTCTAAAATAATTAGTTATTAATAATTAAGGATTTATTTGGCTACAGCCTACATTAAAGAGCCAAAAGAAAATGATCACTCTCGCAAATGGCTGTGGAGCAGCCTAATAACATGTGGGACATGTCACCTAACAATTAGCACCATTCACCACCCCAGTGAGAGAGCCTTTGTCACCAGCCACTGAGCACGTCATTGTTCTGGCCAAGATGGGGACACACTCCAGCAAAGCCATTAGAATTTTGAGAACTGGAGAATTCTGACCAAGAAGTGGGTTAGTTTCTTATGCAAGTGGATGTTCTAGGGGCCAAAATCACTCTGGCTCAGCCTGGAGAAGGCTCTGGGGAGCTCTTACTGCCACTTTCAGTGCCTAAAGGGGGCTTAGAGAGTTTCTCCAGAGGCAGAGAGTGATAGGACAAGGAAGAAGAGTTTTAAACTAGGAGAGATTTAGATTGGATGTTTGGAAGGAATTGTTCCCTGGCAGGCCCTGGCACAGGGTGCCCAGAGCAGCTGTGGCTGCCCCTGGATCCCTGGCAGTGCCCAAGGCCAGGCTGGACAGGGCTGGGAGCACCTGGGACAGTGGAAGGTGTCCCTGCCATGGCAGGGGTGGCATTGAATGGGCTTTGAGGTCCTTTCCAACCCAAACCATTCTCTGATTCCATGATCCTTGCCTTCCCAAATTCCAGCACTTATAGAAATCCACAGGCTCTGTGCTCAGCTGAGAGATCTGAATGCAGCTGCACCTATGCAAAAAAGGGAAGAGCCTGGGACATCTGCAATCAAACAGCACTGATTTCATCACCAATACTCTGCAATGCTTCCAGCACAGCCCATCCCCAGCCTCACAGGACCCAGCACTGCCCCTGCACCCTGCCCACACCACAACCCACCTGGGAAACGTCCGACTTCGAAGCTCTTTTATAAACACTTGGCTCCCATTCTGTACAGGCTTGACATCCGTTGTCTGGCCAGTGTCATGCTTATGCCAATTTCTTTTCTTTTTCACTGAAAAAGAATGAATTGGACAGCTATGTTAAGTTGAAGATAATTATTAAGACATTGGCAGGAAGCACGAATCTTCATTTAATTTCTCACACAAACAGGGTGGAGATAACCCCCTCCATGCTGCAGATTTTAATATTGCTCTCAATGCCCCATTAGACAATTGTGGTGCAGCTGAAGATCCATTACAGAGCAAGCAGAGAGCGTTTGGGACCAGAGGGCAGCAGTTGGGTAATTGCAGCCTCACACAAACACCGGCTCTGGACACCCTGGGCTCTCACTCCCCCTCATCCTCACCAGGAAACTCCCAGAAACTCCTTGGGCAGCCTGCAGGACAGGTCTGTGGGAGTGCATTTGTCAGGAATTACCTTAGAATAAAGCTCTGTCCAGATTTGACACCAAGTTTGATGGGATTTTAGTGTGCCCTACACACAGGATGGACAGGGAAGAAGAGGGGAGGGAAGAGGAGGGAAGAGGGAAAGAAAAAAAAGGGAAAGGGAAAGGGAAAGGAAAAGGAAGGAAAAGGAAAAGGAAAAGGAAAAGGAAAAGGAAAAGGAAAAGGAAAAGGAAAAGTTAGTTGCTAAAAGTGCAGGGAAGGGAATTTATTCTGGCTCAGACCTGCAGCTGATGACAGATTGAGGCCCCTTGACTGTGTTCCCAGTGAGGGATGGACACACAGGATAGTCCAGCAGGGATAAAGGGCCAGCAGGGATGAGCACACGTGAGCCAGTCAGGTTTCAGTGTGGTTTTGCCCTGCCTCTGACAGCTGGATAACACAAAGCAAGAAAAACTGGTCCTGCTTTTTCCCTGAGTCAGCACTATCTCCCTCAGCTGTTCCTGCTTCCACAGTGTCCAAAGAAACTCCCTTTGGTAGGAAACTGCCTTTTTCCACATTTGTATCATTTAAAACCTCTGTAAATAGAATTTTCATATGTCACATACTTTCATTTTCCACCCTTGTTTTCCATTGTGAAACTCAGTATTTCAGCCCAAGTCCAGACCTCTTATCAAAACAGTGAGGGAAGGCAGCAGACTCCTCACGGATGGCACCCACTCCTCACTCTTTGCACACACAGATCCACACACTTTTCCATTCCAAAAGGAATCTGGAGGCTAGACATATGATACATGAGATTTGGAAAGAGAGAATTTTGCTTTCCCAACCACAGCCCTGGAATAACTCAAGGAAAGACATCTCCCAGTGAGTCCATCCCAGGTTTTGCACAAAGCATGTTGGGTTTATTAGTTCCATGCAAGGCTCCAGCCTAGCTGGAGATATTCATTAAAGCTGCTAGTTCTTTATCTTAATGACTCTCAGGCTTAGTGTATTAATTCAATGCTCCTGGTAACAAAGGAAACAAGCCTGGCTTGAATGCCAAACCTTCCTCCTCTCCCTCCCTTCGCAACCTCCACCTCCTCCCCCTCTCAGCACATCCGAATCCACACCACGAGTGTGCTGATTGCACTTGCACTCTGAGTGCAAGTCCCAGGGAAAGAGGTGTCACTTGCCACAGGAAAATTAAACAGCTTATCCTCTAAGCACGTTCCTTTGTTACACCCCAGACAGCTCGGAGCGTGGGGAAATGGAAGCGGCAGAGCAGCACTGAATGAACAAATCCACTGCAACTCTCCCAAAACCTCCGTGGAGCTCTTTGCCTTGGCACTGAGAGCTGGCAGGGGTCCAGCTCTGCCATGAGCCTCCCAATCCAGCTCTGCCATGAGCTTCCCAATCCAGCTCTGCCATGAGCCTCCCAATCCAGCTCTGCCATGAGCCTCCCAATCCAGCTCTGCCATGAGCCTCCCATCCAGCTCTCCCATCCAGCTCTGCCATCCAGCTCTCCCATCCAGCTCTCCCATGAACCTCCCCATCCACCTCTCCCATCCAGCTCTGCCTTGAGCCTCCCAATCCAGATCTGCCATGAGCTTCCCAATCCAGCTCTGCCCATCCAGTTCTGCCATGAAACTCCCAATCCAGCTCTCCCCATCCAGCTCTCCCATCCACCTCTCCCAATCCACCTCTCCCCATCCAGCTCTCCCATCCAGCTCTCCCATCCACCTCTCCCCATCCAGCTCTCCCCATCCAGCTCTCCCCATCCAGCTCTCCCCATCCAGCTCTCCCCATCCAGCTCTCCCATCCACCTCTCCCCATCCACCTCTCCCCATCCAGCTCTCCCATCCACCTCTCCCCATCCACCTCTCCCATCCACCTCTCCCCATCCACCTCTCCCCATCCAGCTCTCCCATCCAGCTCTCCCATCCAGCTCTCCCATCCAGCTCTCCCCATCCAGCCCTCCTGCAGAGGCAGCCCAGATTCCTCACCCTAGAGGAGGGGCTGTCTCCTGGATGGCAGCTGGAGTCCATTACACTGCATCAAACACTCGACCCTTGGCCATTTCCAGCCACACTTTCTGTATTTTATCTTTGCCATGAACACCACAGCAAGGACTAAAAACTCATTCCCATGTGCAACAGATCCCAGCTTTGGCCAGAAAAGGTACTTTTTTGTAATTTATCACAGATTTCTTTTTCTGCAGATCTTTCTGATCTAGATTTAACCTTTGGGAAGCCCAACATCGGAAAAAGGGAATAACCTTTTATGAAATCTGTATCTGAAAATGAGAATTCACGAGTATTATTTAGTAGTATAGTAACAGTATAGTAATTAATGTATATTAATGTAATAGTAATCAATGTATATTATTTTAACCCCATTTGTGTAGAAGGGATCATCAGCTTGAACTCTGGGGAAGAATGAAAGGGGCTCAAGCATGGGATGGGGCTGCCAGGGAGGGGCTGGAGTGCCCATCCCTGGAAGTGTTCATGGAACAACTGGACATGGCACTCAGTGCTGGTGATCAGTCCCAGGCTGGACTCAGTGATCCTGGTGGTTTTTCCCAGCCTAAATGACTGAGTTGGAAGGGCCTTTAAAGCCCCTCTTACTCCAGGCATGACCAGGGTGCCTCCCTAGAGCAGGGACACCCAGGAGCATCCTGTGAGCTCTCTGCTGATCAACACCACGGGTTGTAACTACTTAAAGCCAGCTCACTTTGGCTCACTTGCAGCTCTGTAACTCCACTGATTCCAAAGGATTTCTCCTGATTTTCACTGCTGCAAATGAGGCAGCAATCAAACCCAGCATTTCAGACTGTGTTATGAAAATGAGCCAAGCCTGCCCAAATGAAGCCCTTACATTTTATTGAAATGATGTCAGAAAATGTTGGATGAATATGGATGATTTTTCCCAAAGAGAAGTCCCTACACATTTCATTAAGCAGGAATGGCTTAAAATGCCATGTGACAGGAAGCAATCTTCTGAGAGCAGCCACTCACCACAGTGGTAATGTGGAAAAATGTAAGGAGAGGAAAATGATTTTTAAATTTGACATCTGGAAAACATATCTGGTAGAAGGCAAGCTCCAGAAACACACGTATATTTTTAAATCCAGACAAGTTGCATAACAGACAATTGGTGTCTGTGTTTCCCTTTGCTAATCTCACAATAATTAAATCCTACCAGTGAACTACTGGCGCTGGAACAATTCCTACCCCTTTATTACAGAGCTGATAGTGCTGGATAACGGGTCTGAACAGATTCTGGAGCAGCCAGAGCAAGCAGAGGAAGCCCAAGCCCTGCAGCAGGACATCCTCCATGCAAATTCCAGCAGATGGAATTCACCAGCCAAGCCTCTCCCTCCTTCACTTTATTCAGCTTTTAACTCCCCTGGCCTGGTGTATCCTGCAAGGACAGGCTACAGCAGAACAGCCTCCTTTTTTCCACAGGATTCACGATTCTACACATTAGTAGGGAAAATTACTGCACAGCTTGTGACCTTGTCACCAAAACTCAAGGTAAGGATAGCAATCATTTATGTTTAAATAAAATTTTTGCACTTCATTTCTTTGATGATTGGTGTTGAATGTCATTAAAGTGCCTGTGCTGTATTCAAAGGGAGAAAAGGAAGTGTCTTGCTGTCCTAAAGAATGGATGTTGCTCTGTATTCCCACCACGCTGCATCCTCAGAGAGAAGAGGGTCAAGGGACACCTTCTGAGACCCCACCTGCAGAGCTGCCCCAGATTTGTGGGCCACATCAGAAGGACATGGAGCTGCTGGAGTGATCCAGAGGAGGCCCTGGAGCTGCTTCTGGGAGAGCTGGGGGTGCTCACCTGAGAGGAAAAGGCTCCAGGGAGAGCTCAGAGCCCCTTGCAGGGCCTGAAGGGGCTCCAGGAGAGCTGGAGAAGGACTGGGGACAAGGGATGGAGGGCCAGGACACAGGGAATGGTTTCCACTGCCAGAGGGCAGGGATGGATGGGATATGGGCATGGAATTGTTCCCTGTGCCAGGGTGCCCAGAGAAGCCTCTGGATCCCTGTCAGTGTCCAGGGCCAGGCTGGACAGGGCTGGGAGCAGCCTGGGACAGTGGGAGGTGTCCCTGCCATGGCAGAGGGTAGAACTGTGCTCCAGCAGCACTTTCTGCTGGGCTGCATTCTCTGGGACACATCAGTGGATTTTTATTTGGATAAAAAAACCTGGATAGACAGAAACCTTTTTAAAAACATCAGAATGTTGTTGTCAATTCAACTCTCTTCATCATAACTGATATATTAAACTTGCAATCTTTTTATCAAAACTGCCATGTCTTAAATTCTAGGATGACACACTCCAGTTTTTATAGAATTGATATTCAATTCCTGATTATAGGCTTTTGCTGCTTCTGACTGGGTTTTTCTCCTTGCACTGAAAAGTAGATGCCTTTCATCATTTATAATTAAAAAAATAAGTGAAATAAAGTATCAGACCCATCTCAGTGTTATGCACTGACGCTCTCAGAGGCTGGAGATCCTGTGCTGCTGCTTCCCTCCTGGCTTAGGAACAGTCTGGGAGTGTCTGCAGTCACCCCACCTCCAATCCCAAATCATTCACTTCAAAATCATTTGTGGTTATTTGTGTAACCAGGAAAACAAAACACTAGGAAGGCTGAGCCTTCCAAACCAGGACATTTTGTAGGGACAAACTGATTTTGTTAAGTCTTTCAGAACAGCCCCCCAGCAGGGATTTTGCCAGCTTCTCAGTTGGACCCTCTGGGAGACAGGAACAGCTGCCAGGTCATTCAGGTTTCCAGTTCACATTTGATTTTTTAAAAAAATCACAGTGGAAATACAATTCTATTTCTTGCCCACAAAACAAACCCTTCAGACTCTACTCCATTCCCACTAGAGAATTTTTTAAACTTTGACAAGTAAGGCAATACAGGAATAGTTGCTTGAGTTAAAAAATCTGAATTTTAACCCTACAGGAGTCACTTCCCAGTTGTCTCTTATTTGACACTAAATAAAAGATCATCAGGATTCCCTCAGCTCCAGCAGATGAGCGTGGTGCTCTTCCTCTGCAGGATGCCCTGAAGTTGCAGAGCAGCAGAATCCTCCCTAGCAATGTTGCTTATTTATAATAACTGGTTTTCAAGCAAAGCATTTCATCTTTCACAGGGATTGGTTTCTTTTCTTTCTTTTTCTCCATTGTATAATAGAAAGAATTTGTGAATTAATCTGACCAAAGCAAACACATCCTACAATTCCTTCCCAGACAAAACTCCCACTGAGATCAACTGTCACTTTTGCTCAGGGGAAACTTTTCCTGTGAAAGAACTGCAAGAATTGGCACCCTCAGTGAATCCTACAATTTTGACTGACACTGAAATCACTGCAATTCTATATCCAGGCCAAGCACAACAAACTGCTTCTTACTTTTCTCATCTGCAGACAGAAAACACCATGTAGGTTCCAAAACTCCCTCCATTAGCACTCAGCTGCCTCCACAGGGATTTTCTACCCACATCACTGAGTGTGGGCACAATTCATGCAAGGAAGGACACCCAGTTTTTCCTGGGGCTGGGGAGTGCAGTTTTCCAGGTGAGTGCTGGCCTGAGCTCACACATGTGCCCAAGGCTGCAGCCACAGCTCCGTGATCCAACCCACAGCATCCTCCCACTGACACCTTTCCTCACCTTCTGGTCTGAATTCCAGTATTTATGGCACATGATACTGAGGTGTGCCTTTTGTAATGGCTGAAATCAAAAGCTCCTGCTCACACATCCCCACCCTGCTGGGTGTCAGGGTACTTACAGGTCGATTTCCCATGGGTTTTCTCACAATTTGGACAATGATAGATGTCAATATCTGGTGCCTCTTCCTCTTCCACACCAACACAGCTGTAACACAAGAAGGTGAATCTGGAATTAGTCTAGGTCCAAGCACACCATTAATGACATTAATGACTGTCTTGATTGGACACTCCTGGTTAGGTTCTTTCTTCCCTTGGACTGACATTGATGAGAGAGAGGCAGTTTCCTCTCTTGTTTGGACTTGGTTGTTTATTCGTTTCTTATCAGCATTACAAGGTACAAGGAGCTATGTGCACTATGATAGAAAGGTGCAAAATGGCCAACAAAGATCTTCTTCAAGGTCTTTTATGTGTCTATTTACCCAATATCAACAAATGCCAAGTAAATTATTTTCCTTAGTGACCCAATGACCCATCACCTGTGTGCTGCACCACAGCATTCTCTATCCAATCACCCACTACTACCCAAAAACCTCTAGAAGAAGATGAAGAAGAAAGAAGAAGGAAAAGAGACAACACCCTAAATCCTCCATCTTGCCTTCTGTTTTCTAAACTAGTTTAAACTCCAAACTTTAACTTTTTCACCTAGTGACTTAAGAAAACTTTCTAATCTACACACTTACACTCTTAGTTTTTCTATTTAACCTTAACAGTTGTTTTCAGGATGTTAGATGAAATTCAGTGCTTTCTTGGATGTCAGAGCCAGGTACCAGAGATAAGGGCACACTCTGTGCCTCTGACTCCAACAAATGATGTGTTTGCTGTCTGCCCAGCAGAGCCCTGCCCAAACCAGCTTTGGGCCCATGTGCTCTGCTACAGACAGGGTTTGTATCATTCCTGAGGGGTTCCTCCAAAAGCTGCCAGCCAGAAGCCCACCCAGTAGCCCACTGAGGAACTCCATGAAAACGTGGCAGAGTCCCACAGAACGGGTTTTTTCCAAGGAGACTATTTTGCACCTACACAGAGCTCTCCCAGCACCATCCCACGTAAACCTGATTAACAAAACACATCTTCACAAAATATGTGTGGGCAGCTGTGAAGTACCAGAGGATCTTGGCAAGGGAAACCACGTGCACAACCTCCATAGGTCCCACCTCTGCTGCAGTGTAGGAAGAGGAGGTGAAGCAGATGCCCAGCTCAGCACTCTGGCTGTGGCAGGATGTCACCGAGGTGGGTTTTGGATGGGACACAGCACCCTGGGCACAGCCATGGACAATTCCCCGAGAGCACAGTGCTGGGGAGGAGCCAAACACACAGCAAAGCACTAAACACCCGAGACAAGAAGCTGCTGCACAGTGTAAGCAGCCAGCCAGAGAACCCAGGTCCAGCAGGGCACTGTCCTGCCCAGGGAGGAAGGGCAAAGGGGACCCTGCTCCTGCTGCCTGTGTCAGGAACAGCCCAGGCTGCAAGGCAGCACACAGAGAAAAGGCTCCAGTGGGATGCTCTGGAATCCAGCCCTGCTGCCTTGGCTCCATGGGACCTCAGCTAGGCAAGATCACCCCTGAGAGGCATCAGAGGCACCTTAAGCTCCAGAACAAGCAAGGCTGGATCACACCGTGCCAAGAGCTCTCCTGGGCTTTCTCTGCTTCATTGCCTGCAATGCCAGTGCTCTGCAGGGAGCAGGGAACAGCTGCCAGTGCTCTGAGTGAGCAGAGAGCATCCCTCAGTGCTCTGAGTGAGCAGAGAGCTTCTCTCAGTGCTCTGAGTGAGCAGAGAGCTTCTCTCAGTGCTCTGAGTGAACAGAGAGCATCCCTCAGTGCTCTGAGTGAGCAGAGAACATCCCTCAGTGCTCCTCAGGTCACAGAGAACACCAACACTGCTTTTTTTGCCAGGGAAAAGGTATGGGCAGGGCTCATGCAGTGCCACCTCCATGCACAAGGCCATGTTCTGCCTCCTGGCATTCCCCAGCAGCGCTGAGCACTGATGAATGCTCAGTTTATTGCTCCTGCTTCTGCCTGGAGGAAGCAGGGCAGAGGATGGCTGCTCCACCCCAAAGGCCAGGCAGCAGTGTGAGTTCTACCAAGCACTTCACAGAACCTCGCAGATCATTCTCACTCCAGTTAAGCTCTGCAGGACACCAATGTGTCCAAAAACTGGTTCAGCAATGGGAGAAATTCATACAGGGTGGACACAGCAGCAGCACCTGGTGCTGGCCCAGAAGCAGGAAGGCCATGGCCTGGGTGCTGATAAAAGAGGTATAACACACAATCCTGTGCCCACCCCTCCCACCAGAGTCCCTGGAGCCGCCCCTGAGGAGCTCGGGGTGCCCTTGGGGTGTGCAGGTGTCCAAGAACCAGCACAAGCACACCTGGGGCAGGGAGCAGCTGTTAAATGTCCTGTGAGCCCCCGTTGCCAGAGGTGGCTTTGAAGCCCCTGCTGACCCCAAGGCACACGGTGGTGCACGTCACCATCACAAACCACAGACACACCTGCTGCTGCACAACGGCAGCAACAAAACCAAGGCTGCAGCCACGCTGGGAAAGGCCAGACTAGCTGAGATACAGAAACACATCCTTTTTATTACCATTGCAAATGTTGTGTCAAAATAAGATCCTGCCAGAAACCTTGGTGGGTATGGTGCCCCTGTTGCAGCTGTCAGTGTGGGAGCCAGCTCCCTTCAAAACAAAGAGCCCAGGGTGAGAGAAGCTCTGCAACCAAAGTTGGAGACAGTCTCATCTCTGTAAACCCAGACTGGGAACAGAGATCATTATTCTGGAATTGTGTCAAAGCAACTGCAGATTTGGCTGATTTTTTTCATTAAACCATTACTTAAAAAAAATAAAATAAAATTATTGTCTGTCCCTGGGAAGCCAGCACAGAAAACTGAAGTTTGCTGACAGGAAAAATCACCATCACAATCCAGTCCTCAGAATGCTGTACACAGATAGAGAAAAATATGGGTAGAGTGGTAAACGGGTAGAAAACACCAGAAAAAATACTAGAAAAATACCATATTAATCAGCAAAAAAATTAAACAAACCCTGGTAGATTAGAGCCAGTGTAAGAGAACCTAGAGGATTCCTCTACCCACAAAGCTGTGTCAGCTGCTTATGCCACTGGATTCAGCTGGCTAAGCTCAGTAAAGGTATGGATTAGGCTCTTTACAAGAGCTTGGAAAGTCTATATTTAGCTAAAGTAAGGAGATGAGACCCTTGGCATGGGATAGGAGGAGGTTTGAGCAGCTGTGGCACAGAGCGATTGTTCTGAGAGAGTCAAACATCTGAGAGAACAACGCAGAGAAGTAAAAATAACTGACCTCAAACTCCAGCGGGCCCCTACAAAACACAGTCAACTTTTCCAGCTCCAGCACAGCTTTGGAATAAGGTTTGGCTGCTTACAGCTGCTCACAGGGAGCTGCTGCCGTCTCTGTGTGGGAAACCAGGAGTGTGAAGTGTCCAAGGAATCCCCCAGCTGAACTGCCCCAGGAGATCAGGAACCGAAATATCCACCCAAATTCCACCAAATATCCACCCATTCCAGGCTGGGCTGCTCCTCCCAGCCAGCAGAGCTGGGCTCTCCAGGCACTGCCACCAGCAGCACTGCTGGTGCCTTCCACATGGATATAGGCACAGGAAACCAAATTCCCAGCAAAAGTTTAAGCCAGACTGGCAGACAGCCCCAAGCCATTCTTGCCAGCAGAGGAACAAGGTTTTCTTTCCTGCTGCCTGTGTTGGGCTTACAAAGCAAGATTTGGGTAGCAGAGGGCCATGACTGACCCTAGGGTTGGTCTGAGCATTTCCACCTGGGAATAAAAAGCAGAAGGGGACTGCCAGCTGTGGTAGAAGCCAGGGCTCAGCTCTGCAACGTCTCCTACCCAATTTAGCAATGTGTTTTTTCTCAGGGTGGTTAATTACCAGTAATATAGAATCAAAGCATTTCTCCAGCTGAAGAAAACCAAGTCATCCTCAGCCACTGAACAGTGGTGTTCTCCCCCTCAGCCCCTGAACTGCAGCACAAATAGCACTCTGTGGTTTGTATCTATTGGTTTTTCCCATGAGAACACTCTGCTTTGGCCCCTCCAGATTTTCTTCTCAGCCCCATTTGACCAAGAGAAACAAACATCAAAAAGACTCAAACCAAGCATTTGAAAATGATCAGAAGGGTCTAAAGGAAACTGGCACGGGATCACAGTCAGTGTTTGATCATGGATGATGTGCTTGGGATCCAGGCAGTGAACTGGGGATACAGGCAGGGAGCTCAGGATCCAGGCAGTGTGTTCAGGATCCAGGTGCTGTGTTCAGGATCCAGGCAGTGTGCTCAGGATCCAGGCAGTGTGTTCAGGATCCAGGTGCTGTGTTCAGGATCCAGGCAGTGTGTTCAGGATCCAGGCAGTGTGCTCAGGATCCAGGTGCTGTGCTCAGGATCCAGGCAGTGTGCTCAGGATCCAGGTGCTGTGCTCAGGATCCAGGCAGTGTGTTCAGGATCCAGGCAGTGTGCTCAGGATCCAGGCAGTGTGCCCAGGAGCAGGATCCCACAATGGTCCCACAGCAGTGTCCATGTGGGATCTGGGTGCGTTGCCATTGCCAGGGAAGAACTGGGAAAAGCTCTCAGTAGCACTGCTGGGTTGGAAAGAAAAAGTTTTTGCTTGAGTCACAGAGTCACGGAATTGCTTTGGTTGGAAAAGCCCTCAAAGACCATCAAGTCCAGCCACTCCCCAGCGCTGCCCAGGCCACCACCAACCCACGTCCCCACGTGCCACATCCACAGGGCTGTCAAATCCCTCCAGGGATGGGGACTCCACCACTGCCCTGGACAGCTGTGCCACAGCTGGACAATTCTTTTATGAGAGAAAACCCTTCCCAGACAGCCCACAAAGCCCCTCACTTGCTGTGCCATGGCTGTCAATGCCCGAGGGGCTGCAGCCCTGCCAGCAGGGTCTGTTGTTGAGGGAAGGGATGTGGGATGCTGGAGCAGCAGCCACCACCACCTCTCACAGCTCAAAAGACCTTCCTGCCCAAACACAGCAAAGATGGCCTAAGAGATTAATTATCCTGCATCCAGGAATCTTGTTGGAACAATTTGAACCAATCTAATGGTTGATTTTTAAATGGTCGTTAAATGATTTAACTCATTCTGAGGCAGTGTAAAACTAATTTGATAATGAGATAAAAGGGAAATAT